TCTTCGCAACTAACCACATGTTATCTTGATGCAAAGGTTCCGGAGTGTCTGTCTGTTTGAAAATATCCAATTCAATGCCGATGTGTGCAACTAACGACAAATCAAAATGTTAATCCACTTGGCACTTGATGTTTGACTGTTTGGTGTCACCACACACACACACGCACGCACACCGCACACACACACACACACACACACACACACACACACACACACACACACACACTCTCTCTCTCTCTCTCTCTCTCTCTCTCTCTCTCACACACACACACACACGCACACCACACGCACATACACAATTTTTCATTGTGATTATTATTGTTGTTATTATTATTATTGTTTCTGATGTTATTTTTGTCGTTGTTAATATAACTGTTATTGTTATTGATTTTAAATATTATCGGTTTTATACTGTGATCTCAGGCATTATCATATCAACAACTATCATTGAAGCTACTACTACCGTTACTGCCACTACTACTGCAGCTACTACTACTACTACTACTACTACTACTACTGCAACTACTACTTCTACCACTACTACTACTACTGCTGCAACAACTGCTACTACCACTACTACTACTACTATTACTGAAACTGCAACTACTACTACTACTTTTACTAATACTACCAAACAACTAGATACTCAAATATGACGGAAAGAATGAATGAACGAGCTAATTACTATGAATGAGGGTGTTACAAAAGAATGAATGAATGAATGAATGAATGAATGAATGAATGAATGAATGAATGAATGAATGAACGAACAAATGAATGGATGAACGAACGAAAAAATGTATGAATGAACGAACGAACGAACAAATGAATGAATGAATGGACAAACTATGAATGAATGAATGAATAACAAACGAATAAAATACAAATTTATAATTGCCCTATTAGTTTTTAAGCATCAAGCTTAAAAGGCAATTTCCTATAAACATCTATAATTGTAACCGTCAATAATAATAAAAAATAGTAGTAGCAGTAGTAGTAGTAGTAGTAGTAGTAGTAGTAGTAGTAGTAGCAGCAGTAGTAGTAGTAGTAGCAGTAGTAGTAGTAACAGTAGTGGTAGTAGTAGTAGTTAGTAGTAGTAGTAGTCGTAGTAGTAGCAGTAGCAGCAGCAGTAGTAGTTGTAGTAGTTAAGATAGTGATAAATGTTACAGTGTCAGTCTGCTTACCGTCAGTCTAGTGCGTATTTAGCAGTACCAAATTTATATTCAAATCAATAAAAAATTCGTGGCGGTTATGATGATGACGATGATGATGATGGAGAGAAGGTTAATGATCTTGTTGATAACAATAGCATATTGATAATGATGATTATGATTATAAGGATGATGATGATGATAGAGATGATGGCGATGATGATAGCGTTGATGATGTTTATTCTAGTGAGGCTAAAATTAGATCAGTGACCTTTTTTGCTTCAACAAGTTAATTTTTTGTCGATTTGTAACTAGAAACTGAGTTTTACTGAGTTTCAATGAAAACAGTGCCCCGAGAGGAGGGTGGATTTAGATCCGTCGCTTCATGAATTTCATTAAAAAAACCTACCGGCTTAAATTACTATATAAAGGCCAAATGAATAATAATAATAACAAATAATCGAAATAGAATGCGTGTACGGTAATAATAGATGACAGTAACTGCTCGGTCGATTCGAGATAATTCTATAATTTTATATGAGAGAGAGTCTGGCTGGGTTCTCATTGCTAAATTAAACATTTCAGACTCATGGGACCAGCGCTACGTCAATCTAACTATTTTTAAAAACTACCAGCATAATTTATAACTTCCAGGTGTAATATTGATCCTTATAGTGCTAATGGTGATTAAGATAATGGCGGTGATGATGGTGATGATGATGATGATGGCAGTGTTTGTGATGATAATGATGATGATGATGATGACGCCGAAACAAAAGTTAAAATCGATGGATTGTTTAAATCAATACAGCACTGTCATCGTCACGTAAGTTTTATACTACTTCTACAACTACTACTATAACTACTACTACTACTACTACTACCTACTACTACTACCTACTACTACAACTACTACTACTACTACTACTACTACTACTACTACTACTACTACTACTACTACTACTACTACTACTACTACTACTATTACTACTACTACTATTACTACTACTACTATTAATAATTCTAATAATAAAAACAATAACAATAAAAGCTACGTTAATATAAATAAATTAATATTTTTATATTAGAATATGTGGTAAGCTGAGTAACAACAAAAGAGATCAATAACAACAACAGCATCAACAAAAACGACAACAACAACATCAGCATTAGCAGCGATAACCAAAAACAACATCATCATGATCGTCAACAACAACAATAATTAACATTGCTACTGTTACTACATCAGCAGTAACTACTTATACTACTACAGCTACTTCTGCAACTACTACCTTTACTACTGAAGCTGCTTCTACTACTACAACAACCACAGCCACAATGTCAGTCGTAAGATCTCTGACGAAATTTTTTTCCGACTTTAAAAAATCGCTCATCTGCCTACTACTGCTACTCATCTTGCTGCACTTCATTTGGGACAGCCACCTCATAAGAAGCGAGTCGCACAGGTTTGTGGCCGACATAAAAGGCACGAATATTGCCCTAAATATCGATAAAAATGACGCAAGCGATGACGTCATCAATAGCATCATCAACAGCTACAACAATGCTAACAAAAACAACAACAAAAACCATGCTAACGACAACAAAAACAATGCTAACAACAACAACAACGCCAACAAAAACAACAACAACGGCGACGTAATTAACATTGCCCTCAACAAAGGATTTTTAGATCAAATAAGCGATTCTGATGAAGGCGAAGATGATGATGATGGTGGTGAAAATGTTGATGGGGACAGCTTTGATATTCACCAAGAATATGTAGATAAAGTTAAGCCTAAAAACTTCTCAACAAATGCAAAAAACGACAACCATAAGGCAACAACATCCCAACCCTCAAAACAACAACAACAATTAAACATTGGGGAGGAGAAACAATCCGAACAGCACATCCCTACAATCAAAGTGGCCATCGGAAGTGGATTAACGTCTGCCGGAATTGTATCCCTAACTGAAGAAAATCTTTCGGAGAAGATGTACATGTTCACCAAGTTTCTTCCGTCATTTTGTAAGACGGCCAGCGTAAACGTCAGTGAAGGTATAGAGCGACAGTTAAAAGAAAACAACAACAACAATAATAATAATAAGGATAAAAATAAAAATAGCGTCAACAATCGGCCACTTCAATATGAGTACCACTTCTACATAGCCTACGATTATGTCGACAAGACGCTGAATGACTTAATAAAATCCGGATCATTTTATAAAACCTTCAACCAAACCGTAACCAAACATTGTCCTAATTCCCTAAAATTTGGACTCCACTTTGTCCGGTGCGATCATACGAAGCACCCCGCTTGGGCTCAGAATGACGCCATGATCGAGGCTAACTTAGATGACGTTGAATACTTCTACAGGATCAATGATGATACGATTATGGTTTCTGGAAACTGGACTAATCAATTCATTGATATTCTTGTAAATAGGTATGTATGTGCGTTTGAGTTCGTCTTGGTTTGTTTGTTTGTTTGTTTGTCTGTCTGTCTGTTTTATACACACAAACACAAACATACATGCAAACATACACGTTTCTTGCAGTATTATATTAGCAAGTTTAACAGAAGTTTCTTCCTAAAAGAGAAGATACTTTCATAACATAAATACATTTCCCTACACAAGTCTAAAGAAAAACAGTAAATTTTACAATTCTAGGCGTAAATTTTCAAAGTGTAACAATTATCTTCGTTAAATTTTAGATGTTAGTGAACCTTACCACATAGTTGTTAGTATTCCAAAGATATCATATAATCATCAATATATACACATACATACATACCTAATACATATAATCATCAATACATACACACACAAACACACACACACACATATATATATATTATTAAAATTAATCTACAAAATCAAAATGTTAAATATGACTGAGCCCAAAAATGCGTTCACAAATATTCAAAGAGTAAATTTAACAAATGCAAATTACCTAACAACATTGCACGCCTAACTGCTAGTCACTGAAAACTATTTAACCTTATTTTAAAATCAACAATCGACTTCCCATTATGTTCAAATCCATTTAAAAGAATATCATTCCAGATCCTAGGACCCTTACAAAATACACGTGAATATAAAATATTGGTTTTAGACTGATTTGATGGCAAATAATTTCTAACTCTCTTACTCTATGCGTACTTATAGTAATTATTGAATGCAGTAGGCAATTTATTATTTAGCTGCTTGTAAACAAACAAAAAGCGAAGTGAGATAAATATCTAATTGATGAAAGATGAGTCTATTTGTTGTGGTAACTCCCTGATACATGAACTCATCGTTGACATGATGATGTTTCTGATGGCTCTTCTCATCATGAGTCTGACAAGATCCGTGAGTGATTGGTAAGTGCCACCCCAAACGATGTTGCAATACGTAACATGTGGCAAGCAGATCGAGTGACATAAAAGGTTTAGACACTTTTTTGTGAGACTAAACTTTATCTTGCTGATCAATCCTGTAAATTTGGCTAGTTCTTTTTACAATACACGAGACATGATAAGTTAGTTAGTTTCTGGTCTAGATGAACACACAAAAATTTAACTGCCTTATTATATTTGATGATCATTTATTTTAATTTTGTACGATTCTTTGTAGTTTAAGTACTGAGATGAGCCAAATATTTTCATTTGAGTTTTGGAATTGTTAAAAAGAAGTTTGTTTAATGAAAACCAAGAATTCACATGTTTAATTTCTTCCACTGTGTTTTTTAAAGGAGTCTGTTAATGTCTTTCCCTTCACTAAACACATTGGTATCGTCAGCATAACGGACATAACAATCAAAAAAGGAATGGTTAGACCAGATAACATTGACGGAGGACAATTTAATATGATTGAAATCCCAAAGACGAAATTTCAAATGTTTT